ATAAGACGTGTTATCAGTGAATTATCGTTCTTTTGCATACCTATCGGCCATTACTGAGCACACGAGTGAACGTCTCCTTGTCCGTTTCCCAGGCGAGGAATTTCAAACTACTTTTTAAAACGATTATAACTCTTTGATCAATGGAGCATACCGATCCATAATACAAAGCTTAATACTGAAGAATGCAGTGGTACAGCCGCAAAAGTTACAAAACCAGTCGACGGAACATCATCACTAACCTCTGCGTATGAATATTCAAGGACTTCACGGAGATTTTTCGATGGGGAAAAATTTAGAATAAAGCGTGCACATTCAACGCTATCCTAGGTGAATGCTTGAGGCGAACACCAACCAAGCGACTCAAATGAGACTTATTGTATGCACTGGATTGAACCCATCCGATAGTACTGCATTAACTATGATTACATGAAAACTTTGATCACATATATACATGTAATTTCACTTTTTCGGGGCTCAGAAATGCATGGAAATACAAAACGAGGTAGCTTACTGTCACTCATCGACAGTGTGATCACTGTATAACGCCCACTTAAAACACTGGGCAATTAGGTGTATTTGTCAGGGTGTCAAAACAGGCACTGCAGCCTTACTGCCCTAAACAAAGATAAACTGAAAGCAGTAATAGCCTCCAAGGAGAAAAACGAAACTCGTCCTTTGCAAAAAACAATATGTTTTAATACCGCTTCCAAAAATGTAAATCGACAGTGACTTGAACATAACAAGGAATATGAAACAGTCATTTGACGATTCCGTAAACAAACGTGACTCACTTTGTCTGAACTTTGTTAAGATCAAGAACTGAATTATGAACGACAAGCTGTTGCCGTCCGGATCCACATGTTGTTTCCGGGCTAAAATGCAATGGACATCGGTCGTGAATCATGTCAAGGACAGGTGGGGAAGTAGTGGATCGTGAGGGACCATGCGATTTGGGCGAGACAACGAAGCTGTCCTCACAATATGAATGCAAATGACGGTCAATTATAGTCTTAATGCTTTTGAGCTGGCGAGTGTAGTTTGATCATCTGGTAGACGGAGTTGTGCTGTTGGTCTATGAATAGTAGTAGTTCGTAGATCCAAGAATGGACACATAGCATGCGGAATCTCATTGAACCCGCTGTTTTTAGCGATTGCTTTTTGGAACAAACCACTGAGGGTCGCGAAATTGTGAATACTCATATATAATTCAAACGATAAATTCGTTGCGCACGCAGAGTTTAAACATGGGACAGACAAACTGACTTATCAAGGGTAGTGCGAAATTCTTTTAAGTCAAACACTGAAAGGATTGACTAGACAACCAGCTACATAATGAATGCCATGGTTATTATTGGTAATGATCGAAAAACTCTAATCATCAGCATGCGTTACAATGTTGTTCCGCATGACCTGAAGTTCTATGCAGTCCAATTTATGGACCACAGTGAAAAGCATTTCGTGCGAACTGCCTACGACTCATCAATCAACATTGAATCGCATCGCCGACAGCTCACACGCATTTTCCACTGGATTCAAGTTTAGCACATTCATTAACCATATCATGGTCTCAAATCTCAGTTGCATTAGCAAAATTCTGGTTAGTCTGACTGGGAGTAGCAGCGTTGTGAGATCGTGAACTTTGGTTGGTTTTCCGGTAGCATCGGGAGAAGAATTTTAATAAATGTCATGATATAGTTGTCCGCTGTGTACATCATCAATTGCTGCAGTAACCGGGGGCAGCGCAAGGATTCAAACCCCGGACAGGAAGGTCAGAATCCCACCAATGATAACCGTTTGGCCAACGTCGGTCCCCGTTGATTGTGAAGATTCCCTGGTGCTCCATTACCTACTCAGTGGAATAGGTATAACTTTGAAGAAGAAAAACGCAAAGTTGTGGTGTATTGTGTTACAAAATGCGATTTCGTGTACCAAAAATAAACATGATGTACAACGTCGAGCTAACCGGTTGGCGAGTGTAAGGAGTCATCACGGTGCAAAACAATGCCAGCAATCATGGATACCATAGTCACTGTATAAGTATTTTCGACAGTGTTGAAGATCCTTCTTGTTTTGTCTCGCAAAACAACATAATGATGGACAGTATTCATTGTCAATTCACTTTTAGTGCACAATCAACATATCAATGGATTGAAACAACCCAACGAGTCATAATTATCATGGTTCGATTTTCAATTTCACCAGCAAAACCAATGGCAGTTACCATGCCATATATTGCAACACTAGTACACACCATGAGAATGGCATCATTTTTGATAATAACAAACAACAATACAATTGCTTCACTTTTGTTACGTCCAGAAATCAGTAAACAGAACGAAAGTAAGTAGGCACGACAGAACTTGTGTTCACGAGCACACTGAACTAGCTGCGAGTGATGAGTAGAGAAAGACGAAGCATGGCGTGATACAGACAGGCACAACGCGTGCGAACTCAGTGAGGACGGGTGAAAGTCGACGACAAATGAATTGGCATCAATACTTTATCCTCTCTTCAAAAACCATTCACATGTCGTACGAAGCATGTCAAACAAGGTAAAGTGCAAACATGGGCATAGACAGTAATGATAAACCGTTGCAGTTACGGTGTGAAGGACTGTATGGTGAGAAACAACATCCTTATGTCTTAAAAAGGCGAAGCAAATTAAAACAGTCGACGGGTTACACTATTCGCACAGAATTACGAATGTGAAGTCTGTCACGAAATGTAGTGCCAGACATACTTAAAGTAGAATGTGGGTAATTTTCAGCCATTCTATATATTAGACTGGTATCTATCGACTGGAAACCGCATTCTTCCTAATCTCCTAACAGAGGGTCCTGAAAGATCTACGTCGCTGTTACCTTCTCTCTATTTAGACAGGAAGGCTTTGGAGGTCAATCTTTCGTTAGGGACATATAGGGGGGTCTTACATTCACCGCTGATCCATCGGGCAATTTTTAAGTTCCTGGTGTGTATATATCTTCAACCTTCGTGGGTGCGCTCAGTCGGAACTCCCCTTTCTCTTTGAACAGTCGGAAAACCTACATACTGGTCAATCTTAAATGATTCTGTGGCTCAGTAATATGGAGCCTGATAATTGAATCTGCTTCGAATCTCTTCTGTTTAATTCGTATTCTTTGGTGGAACCACCGCATTCAGCTTTGTGCAGATTCATCAACCCAGCGTCAGCTCTGCTAGAATTTATGCATCGGTGAATGAGGAACAGTTTGATAGGTGCTTAAGACAATGAGTAATGCATTGGCACTAACCGAACACTTTTATCCCTCCCCCTACCAAAAGCACTGTCATAGTTTTCAATCAAGCCGTTTCCACTCTATTGTTCTTCTCGCTGTATGATATATAAACTAAAGTGTTTTACGTTCGCGGTAGACAAGAGTAAACGAAATGCTTGCATCTGGCGACTTATGTCTTCTTTCTGTTCTCATGAATTGGATAAAGGGGACCAATGGCTTTACCATGAGTAATGCGTCATCCCACGATTTACTCTCTTGGTGAACAGTGTGTATAGTCTCCTTCAGCGTTAGGTTCAAGCGCTGGACCGTGCTATTCACTGCTGGATTATACGGAACCGTCCGTGAATGCTTGATGTCGTTCATACGAACGTATTCATGAAACCCTCTGCCTCTAAACTGAGGACCGTGACTTGTCACTACTTCCTTGGCCAGACCAAACCGTGCAGGCAAGTGCCTGAGTAACTTAATGACGACGATGGATGTCCATAACCCGCACTGTAGTGCTTCGGGCCATTTACTGCAGAAGAAAGTGATAAGGAGAATATTTTGTTTATTCATGGGGACTTTCTTCAATGAACCCATGGTCCATGGACGCATGGGATATAATATTGAATGGATTGATGTAGAAATCGGTTAGATAGCTTTATCGAAAAGCTGACATGCTGAATAATCCCTAACAAATAATTCAACAGAATGATTGAGTCCATGTCACTAATAAAACTCACAAACGCTTGTTTTGGTACAGTCGATTCGCAGATGGTTCTCTTGGTCGTACCGGATGACGGTTGAAATCAAACTGCGAGGGACAACGTATCGGTCCCCGCGCAGCACACAATTGTCAACGACGAATACTTCATCGGGATGGAGGAAACAAGGAGGAATCTCTACATAAACTGATCGTCTTTCTGTCCATGACAACCCTGGGAACTGGGGTATCTGAGTCAGCGTTGAATCTGTTTCTTGATCTTCCTTCAATAAGTGCCTGGTTATTGCACCGCATTCGCGGAAATAATTTTGATCTACTCGATAACCTCATTTTTATTTGATTCTGTCACTGGAAGTCGTGAGAGTGTATCAGTCACTTGATTTCGGGACTCTGGAGTAAACTGTTCTACGAAGTCATAGTCGAGATGGCTAGTATCCCAACGACTGACTCGTAGTGGCCTGCAGCATTGGTTGTCACGACTCGGAAGACTCGTGTGAGGGTATGTGCTGACTCGTGATCGATAGCCAACCATGTCCCGTCAGCAATCGGCATGTCAGCGGCTGTCCGGAACCGATGTCAGTTCTTGTGCCAGCGGAAGTGCAAGTGACAAAGCAGCGGATCGCTGAGACACGAGTGGAATCCCGTCAAGTGGTTCCTGGTCGTGTGACCAATCAACCAATCAGAAGACAGGCTACTTGATTCCAGCATGAACCAGTTAGTCTGCGTTGCAAAGATTGACGTCAATCATTGTTTTTTTACCATATAATCGATGTGTTTTGTGCTAATAAAATGAGATGATTCGTGGGCGGAAAAGAGTTCTCACTAGAGCTAGTGGGACGGAATAAAACAACTAGTAGATACCGAATGATCGCTACACAACGTGAATGAGCACCCAAACTATTGAAAATGCCACTTTTCGCCTGTGGAACACCTGCACGATGGCAGAACTGACCGAAATGGAATCAAGGCACACCAACTGGCACAGAAATATATTGGTCCAAGTGGGACTTCCCGAAGTGCTTGTGAATGGAAGAGAATAATCACACCTTCCACGATTTTATCCTGGAGTCATGATGCCACTGACTTGAACCTCCAACACAGGGTTGAGGCGATGCAACATATGCAATAAAACTGGATCGACAAGTTGTAGGTTTCTTTCGCTTTATCTGCTTGCTGTTCAACTTGCGTTCCATTGCGTATCTGATCAGTATGTCCTCTACCAATTGTAAAATCTCGTAAATCAGTAATTTCCCCAATTCTTGATCCAGTCTGTGGTATGACAATACCTGCAAATGGTCGAAGCAAGTTAATAAGAGAATGGGGAATATATGTTGCATCCGAGAACTCCAAAGAACCTCTCAGTCTACATGCCCCGTAGGGAACCATTTAGGAGTTTGGTGAACTCACTTGAAATCTCAGTATTTTAACAGAGTCTTCTAGGACGCGATTTCACCACCTATGCCGAAGTGCTGTACGCAACTTTGACCTCTTGAGTGGTGGATATTTTCCGTTGATTGTGGTTTCCGGTGACTGGGTCTTCCTTTACCTTTTTGCCTATGGACGCTCATAAGTTGGTGCATGCATTGATTGTCATGACGAAGCCTCACTGAACAAAGTTGGTAGTAGATCCAGACTTTTAACTGCCTTCCAGCTGGGAATGGATGGACTGTCACGTGAAATTAGAAATTCCATAGTTACGAACTCGCCATTATCCCTTTTACCATGTGAATCGTATTCGGAAACAATGATTTCTCCTCAAAAATTTGAAAAGAGAAGTGAGAAACATAGGTTTGCACAATATATCCTGGACCATTTTGCTGCATCTGTACACGTGCATACTGCAGTCAATGTGATTTTTTATGTGGTTAGTAGAATAACCAATGAAACTGAGACAAGATTGAAGTGGATGAAATGTTATGGTAGCGAACGAGAATGGGGTGGAGGTGGTATTAAACGTATAACGACTGTCAAAGTGGTAAATGCTTGGAGTGCTCCATGTAGAAGGCATGAGGGATAACATTGATGGGTGATGCGGAATAAAATTCCATATGCAAAGAAATAACCCTAAGCGGCAAAACAAAATACACACGGCGAATATCAGAAGGAGGTTTTCGGGTTCAACTGAGTAAGAAACATGTACAAATGAACGTGAACTAACAGTGCAGATACAGTCATCACTGGGTATAACATTCGTTGAATTACCCAAAAAGTCATCAATCTCGGAAACAACGCTATTTCTCCTCTGAGTTCCGTAGCAAGAAATATCCGGCTAATTTCACGTACTACGATTTTTACTTGAAAAATATCACCTACACCGGTCAAATTAGTGTGCTGTTGTCTTCAGCCAGCAAGACCTCACGAACGCAGGGTTCCGTTGATCCAGCAATCAGTTGCTGAATTCACAATACGTCCTCCAGTTTTTCATTAGAAGTGGTATTTTAGGCACATGGTCGTACGGCACACGTGATCCATATAATAAAATCTCCTGCGAACTCATCCCATGCATGGAGCAGTTGTGAATAATTGTAGCAACTCACTCATGTGTCCATACGAAAATCGAAATTTTTATTCGGGGCAACAATGGCGTCTTCGACAGTTTTGTTTCTAAGGTGTAGTGCTTTGAATAAGCACCTGCCTTCAGCACCAACGTGCAAGCATAGTAGTTTCACAATGTCGTCCTCAGTGATTTTCGTATAAGGGTCAAAATCGGAAGGGCAGAAAGGTAATGCAAAAACGTGGTTTTCCATGAGTTCCACAATTAAGGAGATGGCCTTTTGGAAGCGGAATATAGAAGATCCGACATTATGTAAGGTCGTGGCCATGACGCCAAATGTTTAGTCAAGAAACCAGTTAATAGAACGAAAGTACATATGTATGGCAGAACTTGCATTCAGGATCTACGTTCGGCAAGCGCAAGCCTAAGCATGTTTCAATCGGACGAAAGTGTTCAATCGATATAGTCACACACACGGAGCTAGCTGCGTGCGAATGTTAGATCAGGTCGAAGTAGAGCGTGATACAGACAGCTATTGGACGTGCAAATGCAAGGCGAACAATATAGGAATGGATAACGACCGAAAAGTGACTACGAATGAAATGGCATCACAACAGGTTTCACTTCATTACTGTGAACCGAAACAACACGAGGCAAACGTTTACACTGAGTACTGGTTTCGTCTCTGGTCACAGAATCTAATGTTACCAGTGCAAGCGCACAGGTGCACCATGAACAACACATCAAATTTGTCACAAAGCAATCTCTGCTGCACTCTCACCATCCTTCTAAGATATATGACTGATGGGGGCGGATATAGCATCATACATTTGATCATCTCTTTCCAGTAGTTTTAATTCGATAAGGTAAAGCTTCTTGTTTGATCTCTTCCAAGGTTCAACGATCACAACTGTTCAGTGTTCGGACAAATACTTTAGTCGGATAGAGTCAAATGCATGCGAACAATCCATGGCAGGATCATCAGAAGCCCTAAAGGCATTTCAAAGTTGGGCATAGTAGTCATAAACAAATAAAAGTCTCACTCGATATTTGATGTTTTGTTCTGCAGATCATACAGAAAATTCATCGCAGCGTCGTTTTTTGCCATTTTCATCCGCAAAATCATCCACATCTCTTGAGGTAGGTGCAACAACCAAAGTTGAAAATGAAAACAAGAGTTATATAACTTTATGATAATTGTTTGAAAGCTGCGTGCGGATCAAAAGCCATGAAAGAAGGATATCAAATAACTCATTTTGATTGCACTATATTTAAAAGCGAGACCCAAGATTATTCGTTAAGTTGAAGTACCAGTTTACATTCTAACAGGATAAAACACATCTAGTAAGTTATTTCTGTGGTAAGTGTGTCACGATATAATGCATTCCTTAGATACGCAAGCGCGCAAAATGAAGTAGACCGAATGTGTACAAAGTAGTGAGTAAGCTAACCGTAATACATGATTTAGTCAGCAAAAATTATGGGGCAGCAATCATGGAATATATGAAAAGCTGCTTTTCACCAGACTGCGAGAAAAGAAGAAAAGCTTTCTGTAAATGCTCACATATAGCAGTTTCACATAAGTATGCCCGCGATTGAAGTGGAGATCAGGAGCAAAGGAATCAAGTGAACAGAATGCACTCGGACAAACCCAAATAGAAATATGACACTCGAATTCGAATGTTCGCGTTTGTTTACCTTGTTCACACTATGCCACGTAATTTGATTTGTGGAGTTTGTACCGTTCATGTTGTCATGACGTACACATGCGATTCAGATGTATGATGCGTAAATCTCAATATGAATGGATCAGAAATCGTATTTTTAATCGAAACCGCCGATCTTTTGAGAGGAAGTTTGAAACCATCCCAAGCAATAAATTTGAGAATGTCCTCATCAGGCTACAGATCTACTCGAAACTTATTCAGAACGGCACTTATATACACGTTCTGTTCTCGTACATGGTGGTATAGGGGTAAAAAATATACAAAAGTATATCTTTAGTTACGAGCAATTAGTAGTAAGGCACTGGGATGTGGCGAGTGATTTTATTCGAAATGCAGACGAAAGCAATTTATAATTTACCATAGAGTACTTATTGTTCTTGGATAGCCAATCTGGATATTGTCCATTTTGTCATCTCGGTAATCTGATCGAATATTCTGACTTCGATTTTACAATTCTCAACTGACCTTGTAGCACTGTTGCATGCTTACCAACGGGTGTACGAATATGTATCATCGAAAACACTTACTATTTGTGGTAACATGAATCAACGAACAGTCAAAGCTCGCAAAATGTGTTGTACCAAAAACAAAAGCCGAACCCATTTTGTACTTTTAGTTACCTTCCATCAGACTTCATTCACTATTCAGAAAAACAAACCCGTCAGTCGAAAGTACGAGCACGACAATAAATTCCCACATAACCAGAATAGGGACTCGAATCACAATCAGAACCACGACCACAGACACAAAATATCAGTGCACGGCTACACATTTTCATATTGAACTTCACGGACTGTGGTGGGAAAATGGTGTGACCTCGAAGAAGCTTCACCCTGGTGATCTTTTCATTCTGCTCCGGATGAGTGTTTGTGTTTTGCGATAAACGAGTGCACTACCTATCAGTTGTGAGAAACTACGTTGCGATAATCGAAAGAATAAAACTGGAAAATCCAAGTGAAGTGAATTCACACATGAGTGGGTAAATCTGCACACCGAAGCTCATGTGTACTGTCGTGTTTGGCTTGTACAGTCGTATGCTCACAAGCACGCTTGATCTACACCCCATGCAATCACAGACACCCGCTTGCAGGCGTATACACACGTAAACAGTTGAAGTTTGCTATGTTTCGTCTCGGACGGCACTGACCAGTCAGATCGTATCAGGTCTTGCACGATCTTCCACGGCTTAATCCGATTGTATAATTGTCTTACACTTTCGATTACATACATCACTGACTCACGCACTTGCATACATGATTATGTTTTCAGTTGCTTGCATGTACTGGTGCTCACCGTACGTTGCTACAGAATACATGTTTATTCGCACACGTGCGCCTCTCTTCTACTTGCCGAATTCATGACACAACACGAACCTCAGCGTATTTTATCTCCGAGCCTGAAAGTAATCGGGGAAAGTAAAATATAACGAAATTCCGAGTGGAGCAAAAACCAATAAATGCTAATTTAAGCCAATTCATGTCATGGGTTTGGGCACCAGTTGAAGTGACACAAAAAAGCTTGCCCGGGCATATCGCACTGACCTACGTACCTGGATAAACTTGACAATCCCTTTCTGAATATGTATGGATCAGACAAGACTCAACATTATTACCTGAAGTAGCTGCCGTTTCTTCTGTTCGTGCTGCAGAGCTAGACCGATTAGCACGTGATTATGGAAGATTCTAACTGATAACCACTTCCAGAATCAGAATCATTCATTGGTGCAGATTGTACTCTCGACGAGGCAAGTGCGCTGATTATTGGGAGACAGGTGACAACTGTTGTGTTCGTAATTCGGTAAGAAAAGGAAGGCGCACACGCGTGGATAAACGTTTATTGCCGTAGCAACGTACGGTAAGCACATGTACAGGAGAGCACGTGCAAACACAAACAATTCATTGTAAACATGCCCAATGCACTTAACTGGTGGAGTCCGGTTAGTACAAAGGGAAATCCTGCTGTAGGCAGTCAAATTACAAGCTAGTTCACTGTGGTGGATGCCATGTGCTACTGTAATTTGGGCGGGTATACTGTGATCCATATGCAGAAAGTCGAAGGCCCTCCGGCGTGGTCTCGTAGCTCAGCTGGTAGAGCACTCGCGGTACTAAAGTGAGGGTGGCGACCAAGCGTGTGTTCGAATCCCGCCGAGGCCAAAGACTTTTCACATTTGGATCACCTCAAAACATTATCAAAATCTG